CCCCAGACACAGGTCCCCCTCCGACCCCACAGACCCCTCCGACAGGTCACCCCTCCGACCCCCAGACACAGGTCCCCCTCCGACCCCAGACACAGGTCCGACCCCAGACACGACCCCTCCGAGACACAGGTCCCCCTCCGACCCCAGACACAGGTCCCCAACCCAGGAGGTCCCCCTCCGAAAACCCCCACCCCACCCAGGAGGGACCCCCCACCCAGAGCCCTTCTGTGGGGTCAGAGCACGTGGGGGGGGGGGGGGTAGGTCAGTTGCGTCAGGAGGGAAATTGTAGTTCCCTCCCATGCAACCACCTGAGGGGAGGTGTCACAAACGTCCTTCTCTGGCTTCTTATATCTCCCGGAGGCTCCACACCTGACATCTCACAGCCACCAGAGTCTCCCTCCTCCTGCTGCATTCCCCATAGTTCATGAGGGATGGTGGGAACGCCTCACAACGGTGAGATATGAAGGGAGGAATGTAGAAGAGGGTAGGTATTGGGGGAGGGGTGATGTAGGTAGATTGTACATAGGAAAGGGGGGGGGGGGGGGATTGTAGGTCAGTATTGGGGGAGATGTATTGTAGTACAGTGTTGGGGGAAGTGTATTGCAGGTATGTATCGGTGGTTGTGTATTGTGGGTCGGTATAGAGGGAGGTGTATTGTAGGTCAGTAGGTATGGAGTAAGGTGCATTGTAGATCGATGGTGGTGTATTGTATGTCAGTAGATGGTGGTGGGGGGTGTACTGTAGGTTGGTGGTGGGGGAAGGAGGTGTACTGTAGGTGTCTTGGGGGAAGGAGGTGTATTCTAGGTCGGTGGGTATGGGGGAGGTGTATTGTATATGGGGAGGAATATGATAGATTGGAAGGCAAGTATTGGGGGAGGTGTATAGTAGATCATAGGTGTAGGAGGTGTATTGTAGGTCAAGAGGTGTATCATAGGTCGGTACCTTTCTCCTCTTGTACTGGGTGATATGGAGTAGGTATGGGGGGGGTGTTATAGTAGATCATAGGTGTAGGTGGTGTATTGGAGATTGGGAGATGTATTATAGGTGGGTACTTCCTCAGAGCCTTCCCCCGCTTATACCGGAGGATACAGAGTAGGCAGTGGGGGAGGTGTACTGTAGATTAGCAGGTACTGGGGAAGGTGTTGTACTGTAGATCGGGAAATGTATTATAGGTCAGTACTTCCTCGGTGCATTCTCTCCCTCTCATACTTGGTGACATGGGGTAGGTGTACTGTAGATCTGTATGTACTGGGGGAGGTGTGTTTAGGTCAGTAGGTGGGGGAGATGTACTGTAGATCAGGTGTATTTGTAGTTTGGTACCTACTCTGCATGTTTCCTTAGCTTTTTCTCCCTCTGACACTGGGTGATATGGGGGAGATGTATTGTAGATCAGTGTGTGTGCTGTAGATCAGGAGACCTTTGCAGATAGTGGATGTGTACTGTAGATCAGGAGGTGTGTATTATAGGTCGGTACCTCCGCAGCACCTTCTCCGTTTCGTACTGAGTGATATGGGGGAGGTGTACTGCAGGTCTGTAGTGGGGGAGTTGCACTGTAGATCGGTAGGTAGGGGTGTATTGTAGAATGGCATGTACTGGGGGAGGTGTATTATAGGTCGGGACCTCTTTGGCATGTTTCCTCACCTTCTCCCTCTGGTACGGGGATGATATGGGGTAGGTATATGGCGAAGATGTACTGTAGGTGTGTAGTGCATTGTAGATTGATAGGTGGAGGTGTATTGTGGATCAGTACGAAGGTGTATTGTAGAACGTTATGTACTAGGGGAGGTGTATTATAGGTCAGTAGCTTATCGGCATGTTTTTCTCCACGCCTTCTCCCTCTCGCAATGGGTGATATGGTTTGGGGGTGTGCTGTAGATCGGTGTGGGTGAGGTGTATTGTAGATCAGTGAGGTGTATTATAGGTCAGTACCTCCTTGGCGTGCTTCCTCAGCGCCTTCTCTCCCTTGTGCTGGGTGATATGGGGAAGTTTTTCTGTAGATCAGGAGGAAAGTAATGAGGGAGGTGTGTTGCAGATCGGTGTGGGTATTGGTAGGTGAAGGGTGCATTGTAGATCAGGAGGTGGGGGGTGCATTGTAGATCAGGAGCGGGGGGGGGGGTTGGTTTGTAGGTCGGTAGTAGGGGTGTATTGTGGGGTCGGGAGATAGGTGTATTGTAGATCGGCAGGTGGGAAGGCATATTATAGGTTGCTGGGGGAGGTGTATTGTAGATCGGAAGATGTTTTGTCGCTCGCTAGATGGGAGAGGTGCATTGTAGATCGGGAGGTGCATTGTTGATGGGAAGATATGATAAAGATCGTAGATGTTGGAGGTGTATTGTAGATGGGGGAGGTGTATTGTAGATCGGTACCTCCTCGGCGTGTTTCCTCAGCGCCTTCTCCCGCTCGTACTGGGTGATGAGCTGCTCGTTGTCCTCTCTTAGTAGCTCCAGCTCGGCCTCCTGCTCGTGTCTCTCCGTACAGGCCGCCTCCAGGTTCTCCAGCACGGCCACCACCAGCGGCATCAACTCCTTCACCGCCTCCTCCTCATAGCGGCCGATCAGCCGCTCCATCTCCCGGTAGATGGAGGCCGCCAGAGCGGAGACCCGCTCCGACATCGAGGCCCCGGCCTCCTCCTGGTACACCAATCCGTCCTCCAGCTCCATCACCGATACCGACCGGGACCGCCACCAGCGTGACGTCACCCGACCCCGCCGGACCCAGTCCCGCCCACCTGTCCTGCTCCCGCCCCTCTGCCACGGACAGCCACGCCCCTTACCATCCACTACACGGGATTGTCACGCCTACTTGCACTTTGCCACGCCCGTTTCCTAGAGGCGGTGCGCCTCCCTTCTGTTTCCCCGCTTTCTCCCATGGAATAGTCCCCGCCTCCCCTGGGATAGCTCCACCATTCCTGTACGCTTTCCTTCTTACTCTCCGCCCCCTCCCGGGTCATCCCTCCTCCAGCTCCTCCTCTTCCTGAGAGAACTCCTCTTCCTTAAAGGAACACCCCACCTCCATCAATCTAATCTTCCAGGGACATTCCTCCTCTTCCTCCTTCATTCCACATCAGCTCCTCCCCTTCTAAGAGCACCCCCCCCCATCCCTTCCTCATTCCCTCCCCTCCAAGCGGACCTCCCCCCAACATGCTGGAGAAAAACATCACATGACTCTGCGCTGGATCCTCGCCGCCGGAAATTCCTCATGATGGAGCGTCAATGTGACAACAAAACAGAAACCCCCATTGTGTCTACTGACCCATTTCCTGTCCATTAGAAGAATTCTCCTCCCCCATTACAACCTGGTGTGTGTCACTGCCCCGCCCACTAACATGCCTTAAAGGACCACTAAACCCCAAAGGTGGAAATATATTTACCATATAGAGTGTCATCTGAAACCCCTCCCATTTTGTAATCAATTCTAGCACTGTGTCACTGCCCAGCCCACCAACATGCCTTAAAGGACAACTACACCCCAAAACCCCATCATCCTCCCAATACTACCAAGTCCTGCTGTCACTACCCTGACCCTTACCATGCCTTAAAGGACAAGCACACCCCAAATGGGTATATATATTTATGATGTGATAGGGTGCCATCTAACACCCCTCCCCCATTCTACCCATTACAACCAATTCCTGCTCTGTATCACTGCCCTGTCCATTAACATGCCTTAAAGGACCACTACACCCCCAAAAACCCAAGTCCTCTTCCATTACAGTCAAATCCTGCTCTGTCACTGACCCGCCCACAAATAATGACTTCATTGTCCAGCACACCCCAAAGGGGATGTATATTTATCATATGGTAATGTGCTAACATCCCATCCTCTTCCCATTATAACCATTTCCTGCTCTGTGTCACTGCCCCGCCCACCAACATGTGACCAGCACACCCCAAAAGTTGAAACATATTTATCACATGATAAAGTGCCCCATCCCCCACCCATCCCATTACAACCAATTCCAGCTGTGTCACTGCCCCACCCACCAACATGTGTTAAAGGACTGGCACACTTCACTGCCCCGCCCACCAACATGTGTTAAAGGACTGGCACATTTCACTGCCCCGCCCACCAACATGTGTTAAATGACCAGCGCACCCCAAAAGAGTATATATGTTTATGATATGATGGGGCCCCTTCTGGACTCTTCCCTTCTCACTCTCTGCCCCCTCCTAGGTCATCCCTCCTAGGTCATCCCTCCTCTAGCTCCTCCTCTTCCCACAAGATCTTTGAAAGAAATATCCCACCTCAACCTTCTAATCATCCAGAGACATTGCTCCTCCTTCTTTCCAGATTAGCTCCTCCTCTTCAAGGAGCACCCCCCCTCCCCCTCCAGAAGTGATAGATTTCCTCTATGGGGTTATCAGACAGGAAGTCAGCAGTGTGCCCCCCCCCCCCCACGTGTTGTGGATTCTATTCTGATAAAGGTTATTTAAAGTATCTGGTCTCCCTGGACCCTGCATTCACTATATCCGGACTCCCCGGACCCCGCATTCACTATATCCGGACTCCCCGGACCCCGCATTCACTATATCCGGTCTCCACGGACCCTGCATTCACTATATCTGGTCTCCCCGGGCCCTGCATTCACTATATCTGCTCTCCCCGGACCCTGCATTCACTATATCTGGTCTTCCCGGACCCCGCATTCACTATATCCGGTCTCCACGGACCCCGCATTCACTATATCCGCTCTCCCCGGACCCTGCATTCACTATATCCGGTCTCCACGGACCCTGCATTCACTATATCCGCTCTCCCCGGACCCCGCATTCACTATATCCGCTCTCCCCGGACCCCGCATTCACTATATCCGGTCTCCCCGGACCCCGCATTCACTATATCCGCTCTCCACAGGGGACCCTGCATTCACTATATCCGCTCTCCCCGGACCCTGCATTCATTATATCTGCTCTCCCCGGACCCCGCATTCACTATATCTGGTCTCCCCGGACCCCGCATTCACTATATCCGCTCTCCCTGGACCCCGCATTCACTATATCTGGTCTCCCCGGACCCCGCATTCACTATATCTGGTCTCCCCGGACCCCGCATTCACTATATCTGGTCTCCCCCCGGACCCTGCATTCACTATATCCGCTCTCCCCGGACCCTGCATTCACTATATCTGGTCTCCCCGGACCCTGCATTCACTATATCTGATCTCCCCGGACCCTGCATTCACTATATCCGCTCTCCCACAGTACACAGAACATGGAAATGCAATTATTTTAGTAAATATAAACTGCTAAATACCTTTTCTCATCAGCAGTATATAGCAGTCTTGTGACTTCTATCAGTGTCCAGCAGAGCACTGATTAAAGCTTGTAGGAGGAGTTTTCTTTCTGCTCTAGGAGGATGCAGAACCCCTAACCTCTGTCTGGACAGTGCTGCTTGGCCCTGTGCTGATCACATGCACTCTCCCAAGAAAAAAAACCTCTCTAGCAGTACACACCAAACTGAGCATGTGCAGAGTGACTCCCCATGATATGTCTTATCGGGAGAAAAGAGGGGGGCACTGGAAGAATGGGAGGATCAGAGAAGACAGGATCAAACAGCCTTTTTGCACAATGCAGAGGATTAACCCCTCAGGTTCCACAGTGAGTATAACAAGCATGCTTTACTGCATCTACAGACTGATTGTACTGTTGGGGGTTTGGTAACACTTTAATTTTATTCATTATTATCTCCTGACAGCCTGAGCTGAGATTTCAGTTGGTGTGCAGATCCCAGGCTGAAGAAGTTGTGTTGTCGGTGGCAGTTTGTACGTTGAACACCTTCTCTTCTTATAGTCATGTGCCTTCTCTACCACCTGTAATACGAGACTGTCAGAGCTGCAGACAGCCCCACGTGCCCTCCTTCTCCGAATCCTGTTATGAGCACAGACCTCTCATCTCCCATGCCAGCCTGATCTGAGATTTCAGCTGGTGTGCAGATCCCAGTCTGAAGATGTCTTTGTGTTGTTCGCAGCTGGAGCGTGAAGGTGGTTTGTTCTCTGTAGGAGTCATATTCCTTGTCTGCTACCTGTAATATGAGACTGTCAGAGCTGTGCAGATCCCAGGCTGAAGATGTGAGTGTGTTGTTTGCAGCTGGAAGTGGTGCAGACAGCCCCACGTGTCCTCCTGCACCAGGTTCTGCTGTGAGCACAGACCACCCCCCTCCTTCCAGCCTGATCTCAGATTTCAGCCAGAGTGCTGGCGGTGGTTCATATGCTGAACACCTTTTCCTCTTGTAATCATGTGCCTCCTCTACCACCTGCTATAGGAGACTGTCAGAGCTGCAGACAGCCCCACGTGTCCTCCTGCCCCAGGTCCTGCTGTGAGCACAGACCCCCCCCTCTTTCCAGCCTGATCTCATATTTCAGCCAGAGTACTGGTGGTGGTTCATACACTGAACACCTTTTCATCTTCTAGTCATGTGCCTCCTCTACCACCTGTAATAGGAGACTGTCAGAGCTGCAGACAGCCACATGTGTCCTGCCACAGGTCATGCTGTGAGCACAGAGTTCCCCTCCTCCTTCCAGCCTGATTTGAGGTTTCAGCTTGTGTGCAGATCCCGGGCTGAAGATGTCACTGTGTTGTTTGCAGCTGGAAGCGGTTTGTTCTCTGAATGCATTCTCCTCTTATAGTCATATTCCTTGTCTATCACCTGCAATATGAGACTGTCAGAGCTGCAGACAGCCCCACGTGTCCTCCTGCATCAGTTCCTGCAATGAGCACAGACTCCCCCCCCCCCCTCCTTTCCAGCCTGATCTCTGATTTCAGCTGGTGTTCTGGTCCCATTATACAGATGGGGCTGTGTGCGGTGGAATCAGAGCCTCTCATACAGAGCCGCAGGGCGTTGCGCAGGACTTCCTGTGGTTTCACACAATGGTCTCTTATGTAAATCCCCGGAGAGGACTTCCTCTTCCCTGCCTCTCCGGATGGGGGCTGTAGAGGGCGACTCCTCCAAGAACCGGGATTTCAGTTATAGGTGGAGGACCCCCACTGCTCTTATCCCCTCTGACATCACTGAGTCTCACTCCTCCTGCTGCAGTCTTCAGAATAATACATGCAAAGGTCCCACGGTGCGAGGGGATTGAGCAACGAAGTCTGAGAGCAAGATGGAGGATGACCCGACTCACCGACCTCCACTCATAACCGAAAGATCAGCTGTAGGTGGAGTGACCCTGCTGGAGACACAGAGATACATGATACTATAATAGAGCTTTGAAGCCCCGGGGGGGGGGGGGGGAGACTGAGGAAATGCTTCCTTCTGCCTGCAGCAGACCGATGACATCAGCACAACCAGATACGGGCTCAGATATCACACAGCCCTCGGCCTTCCCATTGTAGTCAGTGAGATCAGAGCAGAAAATCATCACATAGTTCTCTTTGTAACCGAGTGCAGACGACGTCATTCTTTCCTCTCTAGAGCACCTTTAGGCTCCGTTAGCATCTGTGCTCCATCAACGTGCGCAGGAGAACGCATTTCCGCGTGTTCATGGAATGCATGAGAAAACACGCATTGCACTTTGCGGCCAGTAACCGCGTGTTTTTGTGCGTGACAAACATGCTAAAGGAGCGTGGTAAAAACTCAACAATGGCGCAGGAGCTGCTTTTGGTGCATTTGTCACATGTAGGGAACCTATTGGAATGAATGATTGTCGCAGGAAATGCACAAATGCTTTCATTAGATTTAATTTAACCTACAAATTCCACCCAAAACCAAATATTTGAAGTTCCCAAAGGGAATGTATAGAGTGGTCCCCAAAGGGAATGTATAGAGTGGTCCCCAAAGGGAATGTAGAGAGTGGTCCCTAAAGGGAATGTATAGAGTGGTCCCCAAAAGGAATGTATAGAGTGGTCCCCAAAGGGAATGTATAGAGTGATTTCCAAAGGGAATGTATAGAGTGGTCCCTAAAGGGAATGTATAGAGTGGTCCCTAAAGGGAATGTATAGAGTGGTCCCCCAAGAAAATGTATAGAGTGATTTCCAAAGGGAATGTATAGAGTGGTCCCTAAAGGGAATGTATAGAGTGGTCCACAAAGGGAATGTATAGAGTGGTCCCCAAAGGGAATGTATAGAGTGGTTCTTAAAGGGAATGTATAGAGTGGTCCCCAAAGGGAATGTATAGAGGGTCCCCAAAGGGAATGTATAGAGTGGTTCTTAAAGGGAATGTATAGAGTGGTTCCCAAAGGGAATGTATAGAGAGTCCCCAAAGGGAATGTATAGAGGGTCCCCATAGGGAATGTATAGAGGGTCCCCAAAAGGAATGTATAGAGTGATTTCCAAAGGGAATGTATAGAGTGGTCCCTAAAAGGAATGTATAGAGTGGTCCCCGAAGAAAATGTATAGAGGGGTCCCCAAAGAAAATGTATAGAGTGATTTCCAAAGGGAATGTATAGAGTGGTCCCCAAAGGGAATGTATAGAGTGGTTCCCAAAGGGAATGTATAGAGTGGTCCCCAAAGGGAATGTATAGAGTGGTCCCCAAAGGGAATGTATAGAGTGGTCCCCAAAGGGAATGTATAGAGTGGTTCTTAAAGGGAATGTAAAGAGTGGTTCTTAAAGGGAATGTATAGAGTGGTTCTTAAAGGGAATGTATAGAGTGGTTCTTAAAGGGAATGTATAGAGTGGGCACTAAGGGGAATGTATAGAGTGGTCCTTAAAGGGAATGTATAGAGTGGTCCCCAAAGGGAATGTATAGAGTGGTCCCCAAAGGGAATGTATAGAGTGGTCCCCAAAGGGAATGTATAGAGTGGTTTCGGTCAGCGCACACCATCAGCGTTTCCCTAAGGGCTCATTTACACTTGCTTCAAAATGTGGCATTGGACACAATCTGAATGCCAATCAAAGCCCCTGTCACTAAATAAAATGGTAAACTTACAGTCCTGTTCACACGTTGTCTTTGCTTACACCCCATGTCGCTTTCTTCGTGCTTCAAAGCGTCTGCAAAGCCTCCATAGAACTCCATGACAACAATCACTAACGGCACCTGCAGCTTTTGAGGGGCATTTATTTAACATTAGCTTCACATTGTTTTGTAGGTATTGGAGGTATGAGATATCCCAGGATGCACTGGGAAACCAACAGGCGAACGGAAAAGACATTGTGAGCAGTCACTTCCGGTTCATTGGTGGGTATTCTGGGAATGTCTGGTGCAAATGTCACATCTATTGTGCAGCGTGGAGCAGCAGGAAGGTAAGTGGGGTCCTGACTAGAGCAGAGCAACTAGCAGAGGGCATACATGGTGTGCAACATGGGAAATGCTATAGTGGAAGGTGAGCAAGGACCAGAGAGAGAGGGCTGAGCAGCAGAGGATCAGCAGCGCTGGGGGACCGAAGCAGGAGAAACTAGCAATGTCACGTGTGGTGCACAGCATGGGAGCAATATAGCGGGAGGTGAGCGGAGAACCAGAGAGAGACAAGGATCAGCAAACCAGAAGATCAGCAGAGCTGAGAGGTGCTACTGAGAACGGGATCAGCAGAGCTGGGGGTACCTCTGAGTGGGGGGATCAGCAGAGCTGGGGGTTACTACTGAGTGGGGGATCAGCAGAGCTGGGGGTTACTACTGAGTGAGGGATCAACAGAGCTGGGGGTTACTATTGAGTGGAGGATCAGCAGAGCTGGGGAATATTACTGAGTGGGGGATCAGCAGAGCTGGGGTTACTACTGAGTGGGGGATCAGCAGAGCTGGGGAATATTACTGAGTGGGGGATCAGCAGAGCTGGGGGTTACTACTGAGTGAGGGATCAACAGAGCTGGGGGTACTACTGAGTGGGGGATCAGCAGAGCTGGGGGTACTACTGAGTGGGGGATCAGCACAGCTGGGAGTACTACTGAATGTGGAATCAGCAGAGCTGGGGATTAATACTGAGTAGGGGATCAGCAGAGCTGGGGGTTACTACTGAGTGGAGGATCAGCAAAGCTGGGGGGTTACTACTGAGTGGGGGATCAGCAGAGCTGGGGGTTACTACTGAGTGGGGGATCAGCAAAGCTGGGGGGTACTACTGAGTGGGGGATCAGCAGAGCTGGGGGTTACTACTGAGTGGGAGATCAGCAGAGCTGGGGGTTACTACTGAGTGGGGGATCAGCAGAGCTGGGGGTTACTACTGAGTGGAGGATCAGCAAAGCTGGGGGGGTACTACTGAGTGGGGGATTAGCAGAGCTGGGGAATATTACTGAGTGTGGGATTAG